ACAATTCCAGAATAGGATTACTGCTTTCACTATTAAAAAAAAAAAAAAGAAACAAAAAAAGCACACAGATAAAACTCTCTCAATAGTGCCTTGGATTCCCAGTCATTGATAAGGACATGGAGGAAAACAGGATTTAACCACTTGAACTAGTCACTGAAGACTGGACTGTATCAGTAGACAGCATGTCTACAAAGCTTTTGGGTAAGCATGGGATAAAAAGTTGGTTTTAGGGATGCCAGGTTTCTGACTTTTCATGCTAGAAAAAGGTGCAGACAGGCCTCTTAAGTCAGGGGCTGCTGTCCTCCTGAACAGTGAACAGCAAGTATCAAACACCATCATTTCTGTGATGCAAGCAAACAATCACATAAACTAGAAGCAAGAACTTCTCCTCACAACAGAAAGCCACTTATTTTCTGACAGCTTTCTAGAGAGAAGCATACAAATGTTTACACTGCAAAGGAAAGGGTATTAAGAAAAGTAGTAGTGTCAGACTGAAGCTTAAGAGATACTAGCAGTCTATCCAAGAGAAAAAGCTTGAACCTGAGCAGAGATTTAAAGCCATGAATAAATAATTCCTGACCATAAAATTTCAGAACTGACTCTGAAGAAAGTAAATATTTTCTAACTTCTAATGAACTAATAAACCCCTTTCTCAGACCATGCTAAATCAGGTTTCATTGCTGCCTGTAATAATAATGGTAGGAATTGAGCTGACTGATGGCAAACCAGCAATGCAGATCAAAGAATCTATCATTATGAGGCAGTGCTCTAAAAGCATCCTTACACAAATAATCTTCACTCACCGGCTTTCAGGAGTTTTTTGTTTTATGACTATTTTTTTACTTGGCATTCCCATTTCTGAAGCCCTAGAGAAACAAAAGTATTGAAACATATTTAAATTATAAAATCATCACCTAGGTCTTAACCAGAAACTTTAAGAGAAAACCTACATCAGGATTTACATCTCATACTCCTAGAGCAGTACTACAGATTATCATCTCTTTTGACTCATGAGCAATGTAATAACTGTTGAGTTCACTCTGTTGCAGGATAATGCCTGCTACTGCCCCCCCCAAAAAAAAACCTTTCCCAGAGATACTCTACCAAGTATTGCTATTGCTGAGCACTTTAGAAACACTGATAAAATAACTTGGGTTATTTCTTACGGTTTATAATAATCAACAATAAGCTAAGTGCACAAGGATCATTTTGCTCACCACTGAAATAGAGTATAACTGCACAACTTGGAACAAACATTTGTCTCCCATATAAACAAGAAGTCTCTTAAAAGTAAGAGCAAACTGTTCTTGGTAAGACACCACACACCTGAACAGTTTTTTATTCATTCTTCGTAGGTGAGATGTTAATTTGCAAGAATGTTTTACCCCCAAAGCTTCTTTTTACCATTTCCAATGCCTCCTACTTCTCTTTCACCCTGCGCCCCCCCCACCACCACAGAGGGAGAACCACACATACTTCATGTACTTCTTCCTGTCCAGAGATTTCTGTGTAGCTGTTGAAAGTGTCAGTTTCTCTCTTGGGCTCTTTACTTTATCCTAAAAAAAGCAAAAGAAGCAACTTGTTACTGCTTTTATTGAACTTAATTTGGTCTGAGCTACTTAAAAGCAATAAAATTGGAAAAAAAACACAAAAAAACCAAACACAAAACCAACAGTGTTTTCAGTACTAAGTTCATATTCAGGCTAAATTCAAGGGTTTCCTCTTTTTAAAAAATAAAGGATCTTCCTTATATTATCAAATTTAAAATGTTTGTGTGCTGTAACAAATGCTTTTCTAAAGTTTGAACTTTTTGTTATTACCTTCACCATGGTTTTCATTCTAGTTTTCATGCACCTAAACTTTAAAAATGTGAACATACTAATCTCCTACTACAGTAGAGTGACTTTTATTTGGACAAAGTTACCTACAGAAGAGTAATTAAACAATCTTAAAAGCAAAATGATTCAGTACTTAAAAGTCTTAAAACACTTCACATTCTCTTGAGCATAACACACCATTTGCCTGAGCATCTTCTCTTTACGAACTTCACGGTCGTGACGCAGAATGTTCATTCTTTCTGATGCTTCCATGGCAAAAAAAATGTCATGGATGTCATAGAGGGCAGCTCGTAGCTGGGGAGAATAATTAAAGTTTTAATAAAGTATCAACCAAGTGAACATTCCCATGGGTTTTGATCATCAAGCTCTTCTTGCTTTCAACCTAAGCAAAACACTTAAAAAGATAATTTTGAACTCTCTTCTGTGTCAGGATAAAAACAGAATCTTCTCTCCATGGCCATAGTTTAAACCTTTTACTTTGAACAAAATCACTACGAATATTTTAGGTATTTATATTACAAAAGTGGAATAGCTAGGAAAGAAAAAAAGAAATAAAGGTTAAAATTATGTCACCTGAGCCATTACTCGTTCATGAAGGGATACATCTTGTGCTGAAACACTTCCTCTCTTTAGTGGGGCTTCAGACTGAAAATTTTTAATGAACTCCATGGTATCCTGGGAAAGACAGGAAAACAGAGTCAAGCACAAACATAATCCTTCACAGCAAAGCATAATTACAAACTGTATGTGTAAGGACATTTTTTCTTTATTTGACTTGGACCTTAGGACACTAAGACATGCAACACTCCAACATGTTCACGTGATAGACATTCCCAAATTCTTCTGAAAGCAGAACATGCATGATTTCATCTGTCAACTGAAGACAGGAACAAACAGAAGAAGCTGCATGAAACAAAACTGCCCATCTTACTTTTACAGTTTGCTTCAGATGTTTCAGTTTTTCTGTCTGCAGGAGTCTACGAGTGAGAAACCCCTTTGCCACAGCAGTGATCTTATCAAATTTCATTTGGATCTCTGGATTGAAAACCTTAAAAGAAAAGAAGTGTTTTCTCAACATCCAATAAGAAAGCAAGAATTATAAATTGTTTCTCAAATAACATCAATCATGTGACACAGGCTTTCAAGTCAGAAACAAGCTGTTGCTAAAGTTTATTAACTTAGCAGAAGTAATATATTGTTATATGATTATTTTGCATAGATGAACAATGAGAAGAATATCCAATACAGTTCCTCTTGTGTAATCAACATTGCTACAGGAAGGGATACTGAACTTTTCTGTGAGATTTACTACCCTACAGGTATAATAAAGTTATCATTGTTTCTCAAAAACTAGAGAACTTTTTAAGCTATAAATAAATCTTTTTTGTCCTTACCTGAGTCCACCTAGGTATGATCCTGTTACTCGGCTTAGATACTGAGGTTTTTATAACTCCACTACCTGTTGGTCCCCAGAGAAAGAATGAAGTTTCACTTGTTGAAGCAAAGGTGTTAGGTGTTGTAGTGTGAGCAAAACCTGCAAGCAAAGCAGAATATACAGTTCAACACACATTTTTAACCACAAACAAGTGACTATATGTGTGTACACACTCAGCTCAGAGGTAGTAGCTTTGATTATAAGGTCAGTTATAGGCAAGAGGCAATCTGAATATTTCCTTCATTTCCTAGCAAAATTTGCTAAACAGAAGACAAACCAAAACATTTCATGATGTTCTAGAACAGGTGAGAGGTGTTCCACTGGCTCCAGCTGTACTTCCTTGCAGTCAAGACCCCTCTAATCCTCCCATACAAAGGAGAACACCTGGCCCACTGCTTGGCAGCCACCTGGCATCAGGATGAACCTTCCCTGTCACGATGCAAACCCATCTCCTCATCCTTGATCAAATAAGTTTATTTGTAGCTTGTTTTCCTCAAATATGCCCTAAAACAATTACATATAAATGCAATACATGGAGCCATGCAAAGACAGCTGAAAAGGTGCTAAATGCCAGCTTGACAGATGCAACACAGAATTGGTTTCACATATGTTGCCAACAGCTGAAGGCAGCAGCTGTCTGCATATGCTGACCAACATGTGGCCCAGGGGGGCAGCTGGTCTGGGCAAGCACTGTAAAGCAAAATCCATCACAGCAACAAATCTACATTCTACCCTTTCCGCTTTACCAATGTTGGTAGAGTTTGCATTAGGGACTGTCTCCAGCTCAGCCTGCACACTTCCCAGGAGGCCACTTTTGCTTTTTTTCCTCCACTCCAACTCCATCCTACTGTTAATATTCACTTTGGAAATTTCTATTTCCATTGTAGTGACCTTCTTTCCTTTCAGCTTTCTCTCCTGCTCTTCCAGTTCCTGCAAAAGAAAGAAACAACTATGAAAATATTTTTCTAGCTCTGGAAAGCAAGAGAATACACATTTGAAAACCAACTGCTTCCTGACAAACTGCAATACAGCACACGTGCCCTTTGCATGGAATTTTTCCTCTTTTTACCTTACCTTCTGCAATTTCTCCTGTTCTCTCTCTTGTTCAGCTATCAGAATTGACAATTGTTGTGCATGCTGTTCTTCAAGTCTCTTCCTCATTTCTTCAAAGGCCAACATTTTAGTTTTAAAAATATCTTCTGAGAAGATACATTGCAAAGAACAACATATTAAATAATGTCTGTGATCTTTGCAACAGACATGCATGCTTTTAACAGGAATACTTTGCATTATCAGTAAAAAAGCACAATGTATCTTTGATACCACATTTCCATTATGTATTGCAAAGAACCACATCAGCTCCTACTATCCTTTAAAGTATTTGCATTTTCATATTTGTGGGATAAGCACATGAATGGAACAGCAGTAACACCAACTGAGCCTATACTAAAATAAGGACACACAAAATGTAGCTCTAAGAATAATATTCCTACACTTGCTTGAGTGAATTAAAATTATCCCTGTCACTTCAGTTTGATTTGGTAGAGACAGATACAGGTGTAACAAATTCTTGAATTCAAAGAAAATACCTATATAATGATTTGCAACCCATTAAAAAGTATTTTCTTTCAATTTACAGGTTATCTTTTCTTTCATTAGTCTTATTTAGACCTCATGGAATAATACATAATTTTCTTAGTAAATTCCAATTTCTACATTCAAATGGGAAATTAGTATTTGTGCTGTCAAATTATACTCTTGAGAATAAATACAGAATTCTGATAAACAGCTGATATACAATGTTTGAGCTGCTGTTTTCCTCATAAATTGATTAAACAAGTATTTGTTACCAATAACTGTTACACAACTTTTGACCCCAAGCAACTCCTAAGACAGCAATTACTCCATTCTGTAGTAGTTAAAATGGCTCAAGTAGCAAATCAAATTTCTGAATTTGTCATTTATTCAAAATTACAGAAATAATGAGGTTACTGAAAAAGGGTATTTTTTTAGCCTTTTGATATATACACATACTTAGAAACACCAATGACTAATTTATAAACTGAGAAGTAAGTTTAAGAAAAACCCTCAACTATAGGAAATCTTTTACCTTTTGCCATACTATCAGGGGCTACATTCTTGGTAATGTAAACTGATCCCACAGGATATTTCTGTTCTTGCAACCACTGCTTTTCTTGTTCTTCCATTCCAGCTGCTGGATTACAGGGACTGTTTTCTTTTTGGCAGTTGTCGGTGTCCAAATCAAGCCTACGTTTTACCTTCTCAAAACTATTTTCTAGAAACTGCTCGTTTGCTGGCGAAATACTCGGAGTGTCCATCTGCTGTTGCATATTCTTGCTCTGCATTAACAGAGGGGATGGGTTTTCTACATCATAAGATTTATTGAGTTCTACTGGAGAATTACATGTAGTATTTTCTAGCAAACCGGACGGTTTGGTTTCATTCATAGCTAGAAGCTTCTGTGCTGCTGCAGACTGACTGATGGCAAATGGCTCATTCAATTTTGGAGCTACAATATTAGTACTACTCTCTACTTTGTATGTCCCTCTGCTGTCTGTCACTACCTGTCCTTCCACTGTAGCTGACAAGGTTCCTTGGCTCTCCAAGTGCCCAAAGGAATGTTGATTTGGTTTGCCAACCCCCAGCCCATGGCAAGGGCCTGAAGAACTCCTGTTGACACCAGGAACCCTGCCAGGGCAAAACATACTGAAGTCCACCATGAACTTTGGCACCGATTCAGAAACATTATGTTTGTCAGCAATATCTTGCATGATTAAATCCATGGTTCTACCCTTGCCTTTAGGACTTAACTCATAAGCGTTCACAGGGTTATTTATAATAATGTGTCCCATTGATAAAGGTCTTGGGCGCCTGCGGTGCATTTTAGGGCTCATGCTTGGCTCTGGGCTTGGCAACTTGGCATAAGAGCCTGTGAGGCTCCTGACAATGCTACTGTCATGGTCAAACAGACAAGTCTTTTTCAATTCTTCATCCGAATCTGAATCCACCAGTGGGGGTGTTCCAACTCTCATAGGTATGTCCACTTTAGAAAAACTGGATAACGTTGAAATACTGGTGTTATTTGTGTGAGTAGAGGCACCTTGGAGAAGGGTGTTTGTTTTATTAAGACTGGGTTTATCAAGTGTCAGAGCAGAGCAACTTCTGCCTGTAAACTTTGCTCTTTCTTTGACAGAATCAGTTGGTTTAACACCATCATTTTCTTTATCTGAATGACTTTCACTCATACTCCTCTTCGAATTACTTTTTGAGCTACGCTTGGTTTGCTCTGTGCACTCCCTAGATTTCTTCATCAGGTTCTGAAGACTCACAATGTATGGATCTTGTACTTCTTCATCTGACAGTTGCACTCCTAGTCCCTCTTGCTTTTGCAAAGCATGGGATGATGCAAGCTTATTATGAAGAGAAGATGCAGCCCTTGGACAAGGTACTTCTTTTGAGAAGAGACTCTCACTTTGCTTTGAAAAAACATTTTCTTCTGCTGCTTTAGCTACTTCTGTCACATTTGATGTCACCTGACCAGTAGTATCTGCTGGTGTCAGTTCTGCTGTCTTTTCAATCTCTGTGGGACCATTCCTTTCAGGAGAACACAGCAAATTTGCATCTGACAGAGCTGAGAAGTCAGTTGAAGCTTTTGAATCTGAATTAGGGCAAGTTTTCTCAGCCTCTCCTGTGTCCACATTAGTCACACTAGGTCCTTTCCTGAGCTGCAAATAAAAATTGAAAATTGAAATCTCCTCAGATTCCTGCAAGCTTTTCCTCATTTAAAAAACAATGTTACCATCTTAAAACCAGTAGGAAATCTCCAATTGACTGTTACCAATTTCCTATGAATTACTTACAATACAGAGCTCTTGCCACAAGAAAGAGGTTATTACAATTAAAATGCAAATTTTTTAAATGGTCCACTCAGCATTTTCATTAATACCAAGTATCTGAATGCAAAGATGCTTCCCCCCCATAGTTTTGATATACTAAAATAATATATTTTTAATTAATTTTATTAATTCTATGGCTTCAAAATGCTTTGCAAGATTCCTCTTACAATATAAAGACATATTTATATAAAATAAGAAATGCCACTGAAAATTTTCAGCACGAAATATAGACTAACCTACAGAAAACTTAAGAACCAACAAAATTCTTAACAAAAATAGTGGAAATGTAAAAGAATTTGTTTGCTTCTTTACTAATCCAGAGACAACTAAATACGAGTTTTCATTTTTTCAAGTACTTGAAAAATCAACTCCATTTCAGTAAGAATTAAATGCTACTTCTAGCCAGCATTTGTTTAAAAGGATTTTCACACTAAAATTATCCTGTGTGTTGCAACTCAATTATCAAAGGGATACCTTTAAAAAATAAATAAAAACAAAACAAAACAACTTATTTTTGTATGGAATGTTATGTTCCTGGTTTGCTCTTCACATTCCAAGCCAGAAAACCGTTGCCATACACACTCCAGTAAACAACGCAAACTAGTATGTTTTGTTTGACACCTTAGTGACTAAACAAAGGCAGTGTTAACTGTACTTGTTTAAGCAACAAGTTAATGTAAAAGCTATATTACAACTGTTTGAAAGAGAAGTAATAGCACTTGATAAGGTGTATTTAATATTCTTTTCAATCCAAACCTCTACTAAATTCATCACTGAAGTAGCAAAGAAAACAAAATAGTTGCAGTGAAATTACAAAGCACACAACTGAATTACTAGTTGATGCAAAGGTAATTTTGATGCTGCAAGCTGGAATATAGATTATTTTCTGATTTAAATATAAGCTTAGAAATAAAGCTAGTTGCTCTAACACTGAGAGTTTTGTTAATTTATTGAACTGAAACAACAATCTAGTTGTTTCAAACACAAAAGCAACTGTCACTTCTCTGGTGTGGGCTGTCTTCTGCATATACCAAGCAAGCAGTGAAAAGCAAGTCCCATGCATTACAATGAACAGAGATATAATCACTAAACAATCAATTATCAGGTTACATAGCATGAAGTCCTAGAAGCCCTGGTTTTGGGATGTTAACTGCTATTAATTTCATGTTTATATTGGCGAACACAGGAACGCCAGCACTTTCTCAAAACATCTACAGGCAGAGGTCTTCTGTAAAGTTATGAGAGTAACTCTCTGGAATAACACTACCTGAACATTTTCTAGAATCTCCTGAACACGTTCCAATAAAGCTCTTTTCCGGGAGTTCTGTCTCCATGTCTCTAGGTCCAGTGCTTTCTGTTTGTACTGCTGTATTTCCTTTTTCTTTTCAAGGCTAAGCTGCAAAACAGAGGGAAAGAAACATGGTTTGTATCACTAAATGCAACTTTCAATGCAGAATGACAGAAATAAGCTAGAAAGAAAAACAGCAGAACAAAACAATAGAAGACCAACAGTCATCTAAGTTGAGACTTAGTGCGCATATTGAATTCCAGCTTCTTTTTAACCAGTTACACTTTTTTGTTTTAATTGAAGATGCACAAAATGCCTTCTTGGCACACATGCAAATAAACATGAATGTAACAGGTGGTTTATTTTAAAAATTGCATGAATATTACATGCTACAGTACCAGCTTCAAATGACACCTGACTCAGACTGCAGGACGGGTCTTTCCTAGTCCTCTACGGAGATGAGAGGCTTAGAGCCTCTGTAGAGCATCCTGTAGAGCACTCTGTGACCCATCTTCCTGCTCATACTCAAACTCTGAAGCTCTATGAAGCACTAGCTCACATCTGCCCTCTTGAACCAGAGATGAATTTCACAACAAAGAAGTGTATGCAAGCAGTATTCTGGATCCTTTCAACTATCAGAATCTGAAAATCTCCTAAGTCTCTATTTTAGAATATGTAGTTTGGATAAAAGTAAAAAACAGATCTACAAAACTAGACCTGTAAAAAATGGTTTCAAAAAGTTCTACAAAATTAAGTAGTCTCAAGTCAAATTATGCATTCTTCTATGAAACCTTAAAATACCCACCCATTTGTAAATTATTAGAAAATATAATTTAGTCTCCAATGTCTGACTGTATCACGATTTTTGGAGATGATTGTTTGAGTCTCTCCACTCATACTTCCTGTCACTGGAACAAGGAAATCAGCTGCATTAGTGCACAAGCTACAAACAGTCTTTTGCTTGGCTCCCTTTGCATTTAGCATAGAATGACTTAACATAATTGACCAGTCTGTGACACTACAGACACATGGGAAAAAGGAATTTTCTTAAAAGCTTTTTAACTATCTCAGTATTTCCTATCTGCACTTTTTGCTTTGACACTTTTAAACAAACTCATGGTCAATACTTGGAATGGCAATATGATTTTACATAAAGATGAGCCCAACAATAACATTAACTTAATACCACATTTTTACTCCCTTTGTGAAGACAACAAATTTCAAGAAATGAAAGCAAATGTAGTCAATGTGAAAGAAGTACATTTTACCCTTTTACTTTGTAAAATGAAAGCTAGGAATGCTTACAACATACTAAGAAGCAGGCCAGATGAAACCTCACAGAGAGCTGTACCTTCAGCAGAATCATTACATGTGGACATCAAAGCTAGTGCCAACAGCACAGTAAGCACACCAGGGAAGAAAAGAAAAATTTTTTTTAAAAGGCCTTACCAGAGGGGAAAGCACAGGAACTCCATGGAATTGAATGAGAGAGATATTTTTGTGCTGAACAGTGAAAAAGGTTTCTCTTTTTATTGCCTCTTCTTGGAGTCTGGAAAGATGCTTCTTACAGAATATTTCATAGTCCTCCATCTTCATGTTAAGTCAGCTGCAAAGAAAAATAACATTATTCTTTCATCTACATCCAAGGCTATGATGGGAAAACATCACAACTAATTCCTTATCACTGTATTCTGGGAAACAATTTATACATACAGAAAACTTACTGAAATTTCTCTTCTTCCTACCATTAACAAAAGCTGCAAAGCTCTCGTTTCCCCCACATAAAAATAAAATATATAAGCAAAAAAGGATGATCACAGGTGAACTGAAACAAAAACAAGCATTGGGACCATCAGGATAAACAAAACTACACATGCTACAGATAATCTTAACAATTTCCATCAAAGGCTAAACCTTTAAGGTCTCTCATGACTATCAGATTCTATCAACTGTGAAAAATTCCAATAAATAAAATAGCAGCCAAATTAAAAAAATAATAATAATCATTAAGCTGGTATTAAAGCAAGATCAGCCTTTTTATTTAGGGCATGGACAGGAATTTGTGTCTCACTCCCATGTGCCTCCTCCATCACCTCGGTATGAACAGACACCAACACTTCCACCGAAAAAAACCCCACAAATTACAGCCTTGTTTCCTGAAAAAACCCTACATATCTCACAGCGCCCATTCCCTACCGGAGCAGTAATTCGGAGCCGAGCACCACCTGCCGAGGCCTGTCAACGCTTTTGTTCCCCTCGGACTCCCCCTCGGGCTGGTTCCCGCCGC